CATACCACTAAGAAAGCAGTGCTGGGAGCAGAGCGTGTCCTTGGGACCTGGGGTTCCTGTGCAGAGAAGCTCTTCAACCAGGGGAAGACTGATGACAAGAATCTTCCTCCAGAGCCGATGGAGACAGAAAGCCTTCCCCTGGAGCTGATGCCCTAAATTTGGACTTGTAGCCTACTAGACTGTGAGAGAACAAACTTATGTTTGTTAAAGCCATCCACTTATGGTATTTCTGTTATAGCAGTACTAGATAACCAAGTCAGAGGTCATGACTGAACCAGGCAGAATGGGTTCGAAGCCCTGATTTTTTATGACCACAAGTTCTGATAATGTCTTTATTCTACACTTACATTTAGATGACAGAAGGCTATGGATAGAATTATAGCATATAAATCTTTTTTCTTAACAAACTTAAGGGATTTTTTCATTATCTAGCCTTCATGTTGCTATACAGAAGTTTATCTTCCTGGGGCTTGGTCTTTTGCATGAAAACTTCATTTTCTATTCTAAAAGCTCTTATAATTTTCATTACCAGTGTTCTGAAATTCTTCATGTCTTTGTGTAGGTCATTCATTGTTCTGGGCCCTTCAAGCTAGAAAAATCATATCCTTCAATTCTTGTTATATTTCACTAACCTTCTTACACTTTCTCTCCTATATTCCCATTGTTTGTCCTTTTCATCTACATTTTATCTTCTAATACTTGAATTCCCACCCCCTCCTTTTTTTTAGTTCCTAAAACTTTTTTTTTTTATGGTATCGAATTTTTCTTCCATGGATGTAGTATTTTCTTATCCCTCCAAGGATGTGGATATATATGAATTTATATGTATGTATGTATATCACATGCATATATATAGATTATCTCGTTTTTTTTTCCTTGTTTAGTCTCTGTTTTTTCTAAAATGCTTTTTTTGGGGTGTGTATATTTTAGCTTTTGTTTTTCACATTACAAGCTTTCATTGTTGGCTACTGTCTTAGTCATCTAGCACTGCTATAACAGAAATACCGCAAGTAGAACAAAGAGAAGTTTATTCTCTCACAGTCCAGTAGGCTACAAGTCGAAATTCAGGGTGTCAGCTCCAGGGGAAGGCTTTCTCTGTCAGCTCTGGAGGAAGGTTTGTATCATCAGTATTCCCTTGGTCTGGGAGCTTCTCTGCACAGGAACCTCAGGTCCAAAGGACACACTCTGCTCCTGGCACTGCTTTCTTGGTGGTATGAGGCTCCCACGTGTCTCTGCTCGCTTCTCTCTTTTATATCTCAAAAGAGATTGGATTAAGACACTATCTAATCTTGTAGACCTCATCAGTATCACTGCCGCTAATCCATCATACTAGATCATAGTGACTGAATTTACAACACAAAGAAATCACATCAGATTACAAAATGGTACACAATTATACAATACTGGGAATCATGACCCAGCCAAGTTCACAGATATTTTGGGGGGACACAATTCAATCCATGACAGCTACCCATTCATATTTAAAAGTGGGACACTAAAAAGATGATTGGAAACTTAGTGTTCATAGGTCGGGTTTATCCACAGTAAGCTTCACTGTGAGAAACTGTCAGTGTAACTATCTTTAAGTATTTTCTCTTGAATATGTCAAATCTCCCAGAGATGACTTATCTAATGTCCTGCCAGTAAATCTTTGCCAGTAATCTGGCAGCCAGCTCAAGAAAGAAAACTGAGGAATCATAACATTCAGTGGGTAAAATTTCACTAAATTCCTACTTTTCAGTTCAGCACACCTACCGTTTACCAGAAAGATGTTTACCTGTGTTTTACTGACTATGCAAAGGCATTCGACAATGGATCATAACAAATTATGGATAATGTTGCACAGAATGGGAATTTCAGAACATTCCATTGTGCTCATGTGGAACCTGTACATAGACCAAGAGGCAGTCGTTTGAACAGAACAAGGGGATAGATGCTGCATGGTTTAAAATTACGAAAGGTGTGCATCAGGGTTATATCCTTTCACCATACTTATTCAATCTGTGTGCTCAGCAAATAATGTGAGAAGCTGAACTATATGAAGAAGAATGTGGCATCAGGATTGTAGGAAGACTCCTTAACAACCTGCATTATGCAGATGACACAACCTGGCTTGCTGAAAGCAAAGAGGTCTTAAAGCACTTAGTGATGAAGATCAAAGAGTACAGCCTCAGTATGGATTACACCTCAACATAAAGAAAATAAAAATCTTCACAACTGGACCAATAAGCAACATCATAATGAATGGAGAAAAAAGTGAATTTGTCAAGGGTTTCATTTTACTTAGATCCATAATCAACACCCATGGAAGCAGCAGTCAAGAAATGATATGTATTGCAGTGGGCAAATCTGCTGCAAAAGACCTCTTTCAAGTGTTAAAAAGCAAAGATGTCACTTTGAGGACTAAGTTGTGCCTGACCCAAGCCACAGTATTTTCAATTGCCTCTTATGCATGGGGAAGCTGGACAATGAATAAGGAAGCTCAAAGAATTGATGCATTTGAATTATGGTGCTGGTGAAGAATACCGAATATACCATGGATTGCCAGAAGAACGAACAAATCTGTCTTGGAATAAATACATACAGCCAAAATACTCCTTAGAAGCGAGGATTGTGAGACTTCCTCTCATGTACTTTGGACATGTTATCAGGAGGGACCAGTCCCTGAGAAGGACATCAGGCTTGGTACAGTAAAGGGTCAGTGAAAAAGAGAAGACCCTTGATGGAATGGATTGACACAGTGGCTGCAAAAATGGGCTCAAACGCAGCATCGACCGTGAAGATAGTACAGGTCCAGGTAGTGTTTTCTTCTTTTGTGAGTTGGAACTGACTCAACGGCACCTAACAACACAACAACTGTTTACAAGTTTATCTCCAAGGTATCTGTCAAGTGTACTTGGTGTCACTCATCCCAAAGCCTGTTTTCAACTTCCTCAGATATTAAATCCTCTTTCTTCTCTAGGATGTGAAGAAAAGGCAGTTAATCTCCCTACCACTTAAAGCAGGAAAGGGCATGCACTGATCTGACTCTTAAATACATCTGTAACAAATTCTGTTATGAGCCCCACCTGTGCACCACTTCCAGCAGGACCAAGATAGGGTTAATCTTTACTTTCCCCACAGCCAGCCAAGAACTCAGCATATCTGGGTACAAGTCAATTACAACTCATCCATCTGTTTTCCGGCTTCCAATCTCTTCCATTTCTCTCCTAGCATTGACGTATTTTAGCAATTAATGCATGTTTTCTAACTGTCTAACTGCTATTTTTAAACTGGATGTCTATATTTTACTTTTTAGGTTGAAAAAAGCTTCTAAAAGACAGTGCTGGAGAGCAGGAATATTTCTTCCTTAAAAAGGCAGCCTATGGGAAAGTCTAACTTTTACCAAAATAGAGATCACCAAAGCAAAGAACCTAACACAGTCACAATTCAGTACTTGTTCTGAAACTCAACAGTATAAATCTGTGAAAAACCACACTATCAGAAGTCAGATATTAATAGGTTTCTAACACTGTCTCCTCCAATTTTATGAATTCTATCTGCTAAATCAGCTTCTCTAATAAACACTGAAATTTTGCAGTAGACCTCAAAAAATGAATGCTTGTATCAGAGGCAGTGTTTGCTACATTGCAAATGCACTGTAAAATAATATGTGTTCTTATACTTTGTAGGAGGGGGAGATGGGGGGGTGGGGGGAGTTCAACAAGGGTTGGGAGAAAAAAAAAACCCAATGTTTCACAGATATAATTTATACCTAAAAGAGGAGAAAGGTATACAGTACAAGGAGTATGCAACCTTTTGGAAATGGGATGCCTAAATCCTAATAATCATGGTTACCACTGAGTGCTGTGCTATATGCTTTATATAGTTATCTCCTTTTAATCCTCCCCTAAAAATGAGGAAACAAATAGGAAAATAAAGATTATCATTTGTAAAAATCATACATTAAGTGGCAGGGTGGTGGCATGGGGGTGGGATGGGGGAGGAGGCTCACACAGATGTCTGGCTACAATACTTTTAAGAATAAAACCTTCTCTGATTCTGTTTTGGTGGATGTGAAGAACAGGAACAGGCTAGGGACACAAGTCCCTGTGCTCACAACATTCTACTATTTAACATTCAATTGGTTTAACAAGTTCTGTTTTAAATTCAAATGCTCTCTCAGATAACTAAGTCTTATGAATCATCTCTAGCATAAATTATGGCCATCAGATAATCAACTTCTCTAGCACGAATTACGGCCATCAGATAATCAACTTGCTTTCTTTTTTGCTAAGCAGGCTGAAAACAGAGATTTTGATTGAGGTGAGAGGTGTAGTGGATTTATAATCTCTTGGCAGTTATAGGGGCCGTACGTCAGTTGAGAGACTTTAGGCATCTAGAACTCAGCCTGAAAGATCAGGTGGGGGAAACCAAGGCTGCCCAAGCTAGGTGGAAAGGAGAAAAAGAGTTAAAACTAAAACAAAAACTAACTTCCCTCAACTCTACCTTTTTGCCTAGGGATCAGATCATAGCAAACCCAAGGTTTAAAAAAAAACTCATGGGGTCAAAACTTATAGGGTCAAATTATGCTAAGGCATAAAGCATACCTTACATCACTGTTTCCCAAATGGTGCATTACCTAAGACAAATTTGTGCATTACCTAAACAAATCTGCTATATCTGCATATAATCACGTGCCACTTCATGATTTTTGTTTTACCCAGGAACAATAATATAATTTCTTCAACACATTTTTTCCAAATCAACTTCCTCTAAGCTGATGCCAGTGAAATTAATGATACCAATACAAATATCACATGATGCTTTGAGCAGTGATTAGCACAGTGTATAAAGTAATATAAATAAAACCAAGACTCTTCTCAGCCTGTGATCACCATTATTTTCCTACACAGGTCTGACATAAAATCACTGCTTGATTTTACTGTGACTTTGGATGCAGACTCACTATTTTCATTAGGAATCAGACTGAAATATCCAAGATGTCCCCCTAGTGGCTGATAGGTAAGAAATATGAGTGGGCAGTTGGAGAGTAGAATAAACGACACTCTTTAGTGGTAGTATCTACATTTTTATTGAGAGGTGCAAAATATATGTGGTCAATGCTGCTACTTTCATCTGCAAATGAAATATACTTGGGAAGTATAAAGACCTCCACTGGACTTTTTATCAAGACTGTCTACCATCAAATTACTCATACACAGAGTTCTGCAGTTCTGGAATTTTCTTTCCACTATATAGGAGCATATAGTGGGAAGCCCAATTGATAACATTTTTAATTAAAAAACAGCATCAACATACTCAGGTTGTCTTAATCTTAACGATTTCTGGATTTCGTCCTTGGAGGAGGTCAGGATCTTCCCAAGGCCTGGGTCCTCGAACATTCTTCCAGTCATCAAAAGTGGAATCCTTTATTTTCTACAGAACCACAAAAATTATTCATATTAATGTAGGAGCTCTGTGGCTTTGACCAGGACATTAACAAATAAACGAATAAATAAGTGAATTGAAAGAATCCAGTGGGCTCTCAATTACAATTTTAGCAAATAAATTAACTGCCAAACAAGCATAATAATTAAAGAAATGTCATATTTCTTAGTATTTGGAAGTTTTTGTGCTTGCTATTGATGTTAGTGCCTATCTAACATCAATATCTAAAGTATAAAACTACTAAAACAGAAAAAGAATGAATATGCTTTATTTTTGAGCACAAAGAAAGGGAAAAAGCTGGGAAAACAAAAGTCCAAATCTGAAGGCTGATCTGGCATAATGACTAAAAAGGATAGCACAGGTGGTACAGTAAATGAGAGGATGAGAGGAAAAGAACAAAGATGGAGGCTCCACAGTCTTGACAAGTAAGAAAAGACACCAAGATGATCTGTCCTGGCTCTAAGAAATGAGCCTGGGCTTAAGGGGGAAAAAAAAAAAACATTTCCCACAGCTGCTATAAGCAAAACCATTTAAGGCAATCAGACCTAGTTTCAATTACAGTTTGGATCATCCTACCTTCATTTTAGTCTGCAGTGTCTCCCAAGCCCAGGAATGAAAGTAGGGTAAAAGGGAAGAACATAAATGTTTCTTCACCCTTTTACTGGCCATGACTCTGACAATAACTTTTACATATGCTGCTTTGATTATTATGAAATAATTGAATAAGACAGAAAAGGAGGCTGAGAGAACACAATAGCTTATACCATTCAGAAACAGGAAAAATTGTATAAATTTACCTTGACACATGGATACTAAGCATTGCTCTTTTACTAACTGTATAACCTTGGGCAAGTGATTTATCTAGAATCTGGGGCTTAATTCCCTCCTAAGTAATAATGAAACAGGTGGACCAAATTCTCTATGTGGTTTCTTCAGTTTTTAAATTCTATGATTTCTAAAAGAACTAAAAGGAAAATCTACTCCCAAACCCTCCATAGTATCACTGCTGGCATAGTGCTTATACATCTACAAGTAGTAAGTTACAATTTTTGACCATATAATGGGGAAGCAGTGAATGAAACCATTCTATAAATTTCACTTGAAGTTTTATCAGGGGTATTAAAAATATATGGATGAACAAACTTCCAGTAATTTAAAGTATAAGAGATTCAAGTATTTTCAAGTATAGCTGTGCAATGATCTAAAGTTATATTTTTAAAAAGAATAAAACCTATATAAACAATTCACTGCAGCACTTTTCACAATAGCCAAAAGGTGGAAACAACCTAATTGTCCATCAATAGATGCACAGATAAACAAAATGTGGTACATACATACAAAGGAATTTTATTCAGCCATAAACAGAAATGAAGTCATGATGCATGCCACAACATGGATGAACCTTGAAAACATACTGAGTGAAGTAAGTCATCACAAAAAGATAAATACTGTGTGACCTCATATAAGCAAATATACAGAAACCAAACCTTATCAGTGATAACCAAAGGTGAGAAGGAGGGGGAAAAGGGGAGCTTTTGCTTGGGAGGCACTGAGTTTATGTTAATAGTGGTAGGATAATTAGGAAAAAGACAGGGATAAGGGTTGTACAACATGAAGAGTGTAATCAACGTCACTGAATTGTGCATGTAGAAACTGAACTGGTGAATGTTTTGTTGTGTATATCTGCACAACGATAAAAAATAAATAAATAACAGGCACGACCCAGATAAGACAGATATATATGCTCATGAGAATTTAAGATAATTCTTACATTGGATGCAAGGCTGGCAGAACAACTTCATGTAAAAGTAGCCCAATCCTTGTGAAAGAAAAATTTCCATTCTGCAAAACACGCAGAGTAGCTGAAGACTAGGCTGTACATGTCTGGGCAAGACTGCCCAAGGTTTACCATTTAGCTGCCAGGTGTCATGGAGTATGGAACAGATATTAGAGTCAAGAAGTGCTGGAAGAAATGTTAACATACTGAGAAAAATGTAACTAATGTCACTGAACAATTTGTGTAGAAACTGTCAAATGGGAACCTAATTTGCTGGGTAAACTTCGACCGAAAACAATAAAATATTTTTAAAAAAACAAGTAAACACAAGTTCAAGGTGATCAGCCAATAACTGAACTCCCTGCAAAAATGAGAATCAACACTCTTCAGAAGAGTTTCTTTAATGTGTTATGTCTACCTTTTAATCAAAAATGACTAGACAAAGAAACAAGAAAATATGATTGTGTAGTGAAGAATTAACTTTACCCAAGGAGAGGTCTGGCCTTTGTTCCAGCTTCCTGGGAAAACTAATTAACCCATTGTTATTGAGTTGATTCCGACTCACAGCGACCCTGTAAGACAGAGCAGAACTGCCCCATAGGGTCTCCAAGGAGAGGCTGATGGATTTGAACAGCTGATATTTTGGTTAGCAGATGAGCTCTTAACCACTGCACCACCAGGGCTAACTCTTAAAACTTTGGAATTTCCTAAGTGACTGGAGTATCTTTGTTATTCACGGTGAGTTCCTTGGACCACATCTATTATGCTAATGAGGTAACTCATGTTGGGCTCCTAAATAGTTTAGGCTAATGAGATACCTCAGGATAGACGGCTAGACACATCAGAAAGACTAACCACGTGAGTAGAGATTTGGAGCTTTGAGTCATGCGATACCAGCCCTACCTCCAGAGAGCAGAAGGATGCTAGAAATTAAGTTCAATCACATGGCAAAATGATACACTCAACCATGCCTACTTAATGAAGCTTCACATTAAAAACTCTGGACATCAAGGCACTCCCTGATTAAAAATATTCTCTGTACATCAATGTTCCAGGAGGGTGACATGTCCTTGGGGCCACTTTGAGTTCTGGACCCTCCCAGACCCTGCCCTATGCATCTCTCCCTTTGGCTGGTTCTCATTTGTCTCCTTTTGCTATAATAAAACTATAATCATAAGTATAGCAATTTCAGTGAGCTCTGTGACTTGTTCCAGTGAAATATTGAACCTGAGGGAGTAGTGGAAACCCCAAAATTTGGAGCCAGTTGGTCAGAAATGAGGGTGGCCCTGGGAACTCCTGAGCTTGTAGCTGGTGTCTGAAGTGAGGGCAGACTTGTGGAGGACTGTGCCCTTAACCTGTGGAGTTTGGTCTAACTCCTGGTACTTAGCGTCTGAAGTCATTTGCAATGATCCATAGTCAAGAAAAAACTTGAAAATAAACTTCCCTCAAAATGACCAAACCATCAGAGATGGAGAATGTCTTCCCTCACTACACCCCATAATACAGTGTTCTATTAAACTCTTTTATTTTTGCTAATTAAATGGACAGAAAATGGCACAATATAATTTTAACTAACATTACTATTATAATAAGTTGAGCATCTCTTCATGTGTTTAAGAATCATTTGTGTATTCCTTTTTATCTGAACTCTTGACATGCTTTGCCCATGTTCCTACCAACCATGTTGAACTTTTTCATATTGATTTGTACATGCTCTTTTTACATTTAAATGAATTAATTCATTGTGATAAGATACAGAATATTTTTTATGATCTCATTTAACTTGTGGCTTCATGTACAGTATTTTTTTCTAGGCTGAACTTTTGAATTTTTATGTATGAATTTTTATGTCTTTACTTCTATGGTTTCTAGATTTTGTATCATATTTAAATGTTTTCCTGACATAAGACCACACACAAAAACATTCTCCATTTTGTCCCCTAGTACTTCTAGCATTTTTTTATTTTTAAATTTTGATTCATCTAAATTTATTTGTAGTATACAAAGTATGGATCCATCTTTATTTCCTTTTCAAGTGACTACCTGGTTGTCCCTATATGATCTATTCAAGGTAATTTTTTTTTGGCAGTGGTAGTAAGTTTATCTCAGGCAGACAGATCCAGTCACTGACTAGAAAGCTTGTTACAAAAGAGATGGTATAGACATACTGCACCTCATACTCTGACTCCAATGATACTTTATTCATTTTCAGCTTTTTTTCCAGTTCAGGATCAATCTATAGAAAAGAAAGAGGAGCCAAGTAAGTTATTTAAATCTGTTAGACTCAATTTTCAATTTTAAAAGTTAGAGGAGAAATGTCTAGGATAGTATGGCAGATTATAAATACATGGTAAAATCTCCATCTACTCCAATCGCATAATGATAATATACTACTACCGCCACTACTATAACCAACAGCAGCTAACATTTACTAAGCACTTGTTATGTGCCAGAAATTTTGACAGATTATTTCATTTAATCCTCACAACCACATGAGATAGGTATTATTATTATTATCTCTATTTTCACAAGTAAGGAAAAGTGGACACAGGGAGTGTGAATAACTTGTCAAAGCGGCAAAGCTTGCTTTGAACACTGGTTCTCTGCCTCTAGAGTCCAATTAACTTAAGCTATAAACGTTCACCTAAAATACACACACACACATACACACACACACAAAGACATGAAAGAAAGAAAAGACAACATGGATGTCAGAAAAGACTCTGAAACTTGCTCTTGAATGGAGAGTAACTAAAATGAATGGAAGAAATGATCAAGTGAAAGATCTGAATAGAAGATTTCAAAGGGTGGCTCCAGAAGACAAAGTAAAGTATTATGATGAAATGTGCAAAGACCTGGAGTTAGAAAACCAAAGGGAAGAACACGCTTGGCATTTCTCAGGCTGAAAGAACTGAAGAAAAATTTCAAGCCTCAAGTTGTAATTCTGAAGGATTCTATGGGCAAAATATTGAACAACACAGGAAGCATCAAAGGAAAGAATACACAGAGTCACTGTACCAAAAAGAACTGGTCGATGTTCAACCATTTCAGGAGGTAGCATATGATCAAGAACAGATGGTATTGAAGGAAGAAGTCCAAGCTGCACTGAAGGAAATGGCGAAAAACAAGGCTCCAGGGAACTGATGGAATACTAAATGAGATGCAGCGCTGGAGGTGCTCACTCATCTATGCCAAGAAATTTGAAGACGGCTACCTGGCCAACTGACTAGAAGAGATCTGTATTTGTCCCCATTCCAAGAAAGGTGAAACTAATCCTGTATTTTTCAGTGATTAGCACCACCATCTATCCCGTTCTCAAAACTAAAAGCCTAGAGTCAGCCTACATTTATCCATATTGTTTTATTACACACATCACATTAGTCATCAAATACTATCAATTTGCTGCTAAAATTTTTTTCTGGAGCCCATCATTTCTCTGTCTTCACTGTAAATGTTTTATTTCAGGTTCTATTATTATTCACCTACACTACTGCCATAGCCTTCTAACAGGTCTCTTTACCTCCAGTCTAAACAATATCTTCCCTCCTATCTTGCTCTGCCCTTCCCTTCCATCCTATATTCCATTTTACCAGAGAGATGCTTCTAAAATGAAAATCTGACCATATGCACAATGCTCCCTCTACCTTATAGGAGTTAAATCACTTCCACCATTTAGCTAACTCCTACTCAGTCTTAAAGCTTTAATTCAAGGGTTGATCCCTCTAGCAAAGCTTCCCTAATTCCTCTTTGCCAAGTCTCAACTGTTTGCCTCTCCTTGTAGTTCCAGTAATGTTTTATGTATAATTCTAATATTGCATTTTATTGGGCATAGATATGTTTGGGTACATTTTTATATTAGATGTCTCTGGCCTCGATTATGCTATAAGCTTTGTAAGGACCAGTTTCTTGAATCTTTATCTGTAGGGCCTAATACATTGATTAACACATGAAAAATTCTCAACCATTTTTCAAATACGCATATGTCTTCCCACTTCCAAAAGTCAGATTACTATAACTTTCATCTTAAAAGAAAAGGGAAAAAACTGCTTGATAAAGTAATTGGGATGCTAACAGAAACCTTTAAACACAGTTGATAATTAATTGCTCTATTCCCTTAAACTACATATTCTTTTAAAATTTAATATTTACCCAAATACCTACAGTCTTTAGCTGAAGCTGGCATTTCACTCAAAACCATAAAATTAACTAAGAAAACTAAATAGGACTTTAGTACTCTTTACTTTCCCACCAATATTACTGTGGTCTGCTAATGAAATACACATGCAACTTGGAAAAAACTCAAATGTCACATATGTGCCACAAACAAAAACTACGTACTTCTGAATGAATGAACCAAAGAGTTCTTATGTATCACTTGGCCTGAATTTGAAAGCAATTTTTTAATAACAGAGGGTGAGAACCCTAATTCTACCACTAAACAGCCATGTGACCTTAGTCAAGTTACTTAAGCTCTCTGAACCTCATTTTCCTCATCTGTAAAATAAAGACAATAATGTATATAAAGGAACTAATATAGTTTTACCACAAAGTAAACACTATCAAAATATGTTGTTTTTAGCTGCTGTAGAGTTGGCTCTAACTCATGGCAACCTTCTGTATAACAAAATGAAATATTACCTGGTCCTGTGCAATCTTCATGAATATTAGTATATTTGAGTTCATTGTTGAGGCTATCCTGAAGTGCCTTCCAATCTAGGGGGCTCATCTTCCAGGACTATGTCAGACAATCTTCTGTTGTGATCCACAAGGTTTTCATAGGCTAATTTTCAGAAGTAGATCACCAGACCTTTTTTCTTAGTCGGTCTTAGTCTGGAAGCTCTGCTGAAACCCGACTATCATGGGTGACCCTGCTGGTATTTGAAATACCAGTGGCATAGCTTCCAGCATCACAGCAACAAACAGCCACCAGAGTACAACAAACTGACAGATGGGTAGTGGTTCTTTAGTCGCTTCTAAATCCTAAAATCACCTCATATGCATGTGAAAGCTGGACAATGAATAGAGAAGACCGAAAAAGAATTGATGCATTTGAATTATGGTGCTGGCAAAGAATACTGAATATACCAGGGACTGCCAGAAGAACGAACAAATCTGTCCTGGAAGAAGTACAACCAGAATGCTCCTTAGAAGCGAGGACGGCGAGATGTCGTCTCATATACTTTTAGACATGTTATCAGGAGGGATCAGTCCCTAGAGAAGGATGTCATGCTTGGTAAAGTAGAGGGTCAGCGAAAAAGAGGAAGACTCTCAATGAGATGGATTTACACAGTGGCTGCAACAACAGGTTCAAACATAGCAATGATTATGAGGATGGCGCAGGAGTGGGCGGCATTTTGTTCTGTTAGGGTTGCTATGAGTCGAAAGCGACTCAATGGCACCTACCAACAACAACAAATCCTAAAAACTGCACCAGAGTATATTTTGTGGAAGAAATCTAACCATATTACAAATTTTCCAGTGACTAAGGAGTAAGATTACTAATTCTTCACACTCCACGATTCACTTCTATGTCATCGTTAGTGTTATTTTAAAGAACAGGAAAAGCCCAAACAGCCTTGAAAAGTAACACAAAACTCTGACTGCTTAGTATACTGAGTATACACTTCCCCTAAACGAGGACACACATATATAGACACATGTCAAACTCCGATTTTAGTTCTTACTTTAATCTTCACAGCATCATATCGGATTTGTGAAAACTCACGAAGACCAAAAGAACCTCCAACAATCAGCATCTGAAACAAAAAAGGAAACAATCAAACAAAAGAATGGCAAAATTTAGAGATTACTTCTCTAAACACCCCAGAGACAGATTCTACAAAGTCCTCTAGGTCCGTTTCTCCTGGTGAGTTACCAATCATCTTTTCAGAGTAGATGCAAACATGTATATATGTACAATCAGTCTGTTTCCCAGTATATACTGTCTCTGAGAAACATCTGTGCATTAGATCCCATTTCATTTGACCTTCTGAAGAACACCACCGCTTCATAAATTCTCTCCTCTTTCCTGTGACATCAAGTTCTTACTCATCACTGCATGACTCATCATAAAAAGTACTATTATTTCTCCAGTTTAACAAACCAACAGACTTCTCTAGATCCTACTTCCCCATCAGCTACTATCCTATTTCTTTGTACTATTTTGCAGTAAAATTTCTCAAATGAGTTGTCTATACTCATTGTTCCTCCCAATCTCTCTTAAACCCATTCCAACCATCAGTGGCACCCACGTTACTGAATCCAATGGTTAATTCTCTACTGTCATCTTATTTGATGAGTAAAATTTGCCACTGTTGATCCTCTTCCCTTACACCTGGTTTTTCTTCTACCTCAGAAAGTCATTCCTTCTTAGTCTCCTTTATTGGTTCCTCCGGAAAGCCTCTATCCTCTGATTTTGGAGTGCCCCAGGAAACAATGCTTGATCTTCCTCTTTATATACATTTACTTCTTTTGTGACCTCAATCAAACCTATGCCTTTAAAAACATTTATACGCTGATTACTCACAAATTAATACTCCCAGCTTAAGCTCCATCTCAAATACAACAGGTCCATCATTGAACTCTTGATATCCCTTCCTCAAGCCTGCCTGTCCTGTAGCCTTTCCGATCTCATTTGATAGCAACTTCATGTTTCCAGTTGCTTACAAACAAAGCTTGTACTCATCTTTTACTCTTCTCTTTCTTATACCCCACATCAAATTCATTCAACAGCAAATTCTATTGCTTCTATTTTCTCCTCTCTCCACTTCTACCACCCTGGTTCCAGACAGCATAATTTATCATCTGGTTTACTGCAAAAGACTGTTAATTGGACTCCAGGGGATCTTTTTAAAGTGTAAGTAAGATCATATCCTTCCTCCTCAAAACCCTACAATGGCTCCCATTGCATTCAGTGTAAAACTTATACAAAGTCCTTAATAACAGCATACAAATCCTACTTAGTAATTCTAAATATAAATTTTCTTTATGAAATAAAAATCTTTAACAGAACTATTTTTAAAAAAAGCTACACAGACCAAACCTATCAACTTGTCTTCGACTAATGGAGAAAACTATGGTTTATGCAACCTCAGAGTGGGACAAAGTATCCTTTTTTTTTTCCCCCACCTACTGTCTTAGTCATCTAGTGCTGCTATAACACAAATATCATAAGTGGATGGCTTTAACACAGAGAAGTATATTCTCTCACAGTCTAGTACGCCACAAGTCCAAATTCAGGGCTTCATCTCCAGGGGAAGGCCTTCTCTCTCTGTCGGCTCTGGGGGAAGGCCTTCTCTCTCTGTCGGCTCTGGAGGAAGGTCCTTGTCTCAGTCTTCCCTTGGTCTGGGAGCATCTCAGCGCAGGAACCTCAGGCCCAAAGGACGCGCTTTGCTCCCGGCCCTGCTTTCTTGGTGGTATGAGGTCCCCATGTCTCTCTGCTCACTTCTCTCTTTTATACCTCAAAAGAGATTGGCCTAAGACACTATCTAATCTTGTATATCTCATCAATATAACTGCCGCTAATCCATCTTATTACATCATAGTGACAGAATATACAACACATAGGGAAATCACATCAATTACAAAATGGAAGACAATCATACAATACTGGGAATCATGACTAGACAAGTTGACAGATATTTTTTGGGGCCACAAGTCAATCCATGACACCTACTTAAAACATTCTTTATGGCATCACTGGTATGAGGCACAGGCTACTATACAGTAGTTGGCCTTTCTATGTTATCTACAACCTTCACACTAGAAAGCTTAAGGAGAAATATTAAAAATACAAATAAATCTAAGCATTAATCTCAAAATGATAGAAAATAACAGTAAATTAAACCAAAAGGAAACAGAAGAATATAATAGTGATCAAAAGAAAACTAAGAACTAAAAAAAATGTACAATTCAGAGAATATCAACAAAGCCAAAAGTTGATTCTTAAAGAGAAAAAGACAAAAAGAGAAAATATATTACCAATAAAAGAAATACAAAGGGAATATCATTACCCATTCTACAGAAATGGGAAAAGAAAAAGATATATTAAGAAAAATATTATTCCTAGTAAAAATTAACCTGCCAAAACTGACACAAGAAGAAAAACATCTGGATGGTCTTACATAATTAAATAAATTGAATTCATAATTAAAAACAAAGTCCAACAAAGAAAATGTCAAACTCATATGGCTTCACTGGTGAATTCTTCTAAACAATTAGAATGAAAGACCTTGGTCTTTCACAAATTTTTTAAAAGACTAAAAAAAGAAGGAACACTTTCCAATTTAGCTTATCAGGCCATCATAAAGTTGACCACAAACCTAACAAGGGCATTATAAGAAAGGAAAATCACAGACCAGTTTTTCTGAAGAATACAGATGTAAAAATCCTTAAAAAAAAGTACAACAAATATAAACCTTAACAATGAATTATTAAAGCTTTCCTGCTGGAAATCATGAATAAGAATGTCCACCATCACCACTTCTATTCAGCACGAAACTGGAGGTCTTATACAATATAATAAGAAAAAGAAACAAAAGGTATACCAATTGGAAAGGAAAAAGCACAGCAAAAGAACTTCTGGTTCCAGCCAAGATAAAGTAGCCTTGTTCCATGCAAATTCTCCTGCTCACAACTAAAATCCCTGGACATAATACAACAAAAAAACACAGGAAGACTGTGGAAGATAGAAAGAAGGAAGACTGGCTAGGAACCTCAAGACTTGAGAAAACATGGCAGCAATTTTCCTGGCTTTCCTTTTTGCCTCCCATATATCCCAGAGAGGGTGCTGGAGAAGCCTGCAACCTGGGACTGCCAACAGATACAGACAAAAAAAAAAAAGGCCCAAGCAAAGCCTACTGCCTATATCCAAAGGACCAGGTGCAGGGCAGCCTAGCAGAACAGAAAACCTTTTTGACAATACCCACCCTACTCCAGCCAAACACTAAAGGAAAAACTGCCCCTCACCCCATTGTATCAGCATGGCTGGGTGGAGAGCTGAACTTCTAGCCCTACATAGTGGCAACAAGCTGGAGTGAGTTAGTGCACCACTTTTGCAGGGGTGGTGTCAGCAGGGCCAAGAGGGAAGCACATTCCCACTCCATCCAACAACGAAGAGGCAAAATGAAGCAATGCAAGACAGTGTTAGCTGGCACTCCACTGCTGGGGTAGTGTCAATGGGGTCTCAGCAGGGAACTGAACTTCCACCTCTACCTGCAGCAGTGAGCTATAATGAGGCGATGTGAGCTGACACTCCTCTTCTGCAGAAGTGGTGTCAGCACTATTTAACAAAACTGCCCTTTAGTTGATGAAAGCTACTCCCAGTAACTTCTTATTACAAGGGTTCTAGAATTTCTTTGAAGAGTGAAATGTTTTAAACTTGCTGGAATAGTTTGCATTGAAAAGTATCGCAGTGCTTGTGAAACACAAAAAGCTGCAGAGTTGTGATCTTAAATCTTTATAACTTCCCTTTAAGGTAGATGCTGTTGTTGTTAGGTGCCAGCAAGTTGGTTCCAACTCACAGCGACCCTATGTACAACAGAACAAAACACTACCCGGTCTTGTGCCATCCTCACAATTGTTGTTATGCTTGGGCCTATTGTTGCAGCCACTGTGTCAATCCATCTCATTGGGGGTCTTCCTCTTTTTTGCTGACCCTCTACTTCACCAAGTGTCTTAGGGTGGGTTCTCTAGAGAAGCAAAACCAGTAAAGCATATAAATATATATAGAGAGAGATTTATATCAAGGAAACAGCTCACGTGATTGTAGAGGCTAGAACGTCCCAAGTTCATGAATCAGGATAGAGGCCTCTCCCAATTCACACAGCCGCAGAAGCTGGCGAGCCCAAGATCGGCAGGTCAGAGAGCAGGGCTCCTGCTCACAGGCTGTGAAGGTTGACGAATTCCAAGTTCGGCAGATAAGCTGACAGCTCAAGTCCCAAGAACCAGAGGCAAGACGACAGGAAGCAGCCGCAGGATCCAGAGTGAGCAAAAAGCCAGAACGTGTGCTTATATTCAGATGCAGGCCACACCCTAAGGAAACTCCCTTTCATCTGACTGGCTACTCACAGCATATTCAATCATGGGAGTGATCACATATAAACACTGAGAATCTTGGCCTAGCCAAGTTGACACATAATCTTAACCATCACACAAAGCATGAGGGCCTTCTCCAGGGACTGATCCTTCCTGATACTATGTCCAAAGTATGTGAGACATAGTCTCGCCATCCTTGCTTCTAATGGGCATTCTGGTTGTACTTCTTTCAAGACAGACTCGTTCATTCTTTCGGCAGTCTATATATTCAATATTCTTCACCAACACCACAATTCAAAGGCGTCAATTTTTCTTTGGTCCTCCTTATTCATTGTTCAGCTTTCATATGCATATGAGGTGACTGAAAACATCATGGCTTGGGTCAGGTGCACCTTAGTCTTCAAGGTGCCATCTTTGCTTTTCAACACTTTAAAGAAATCTTTTGCAGCAGATTCGCCCAATGCAATGCGTCTTTTGATTTCTTGGCTGCTGCTTCCATGGGTGTTGATTGTGGATCCAAGTAAAGTGAAATCCTTGACAACTTCAATCTTTTCTCCATTTTCATGATGTTGCTTATTGGTCCATTTGTAAAGATCTTTGTTTTCTTTATGTTGAGGTGTAATCCATAACGAAGGCTGTGGCCTTTGATCTTCATCAGTAATGCTTCAAGTCCTCTTCACTTTCAGCAAGCAATGTTGTATCATCTGCATAATGCAGATGA